AGGCCAATGATAGGACAATGTTTTGAGGCCTTTGTTGGGCTTGAATTCTTGATTTGAATCTTTTGCTAATGGGATGAAAACATGGTTGAAATTCTTTGAATTTGTTTATTGTGAACCAGGTTTTGTCTTGTGATTTGCAATGGAAATTGGCCCATGATAAAAACTGAAAGTTTGAGGCCTTAGCACATAAAAACAAACTCTTTTTCTGATTCTTGAAACCACCATAATGATGAGTTTAAAGCATTTGTAATTTTATTTATTTTTCAATTTTACTTACTAACTCATATTTTATTTTGATTTCATGTATGGTTGGTGAGGAATGGCAAAGGGGGACAGGAGACTGTGGCTGCGCATAAAAAGCTTGGAGGAAATTTGAAGGAGTGAAGAATAGAATCTTAGGATTTAGAAAGTTTAGGAATTTGAATTATGTTTTGTAACAATTTTTTTTTAGAGAAAGTTCATATTTTAGATGTATGAGTCCTTTGTACATTTGTAAACTTTGTAGAAACTTTAATCTTGAATGAGGATAAATGTTAAGCTTGTATGAAAAATATGGTTTGAGTTCTTTTGAAATGAATTTTGAGAAAAAGAACATTTAATCTTGAGATAACAACCTTCATGTTGGCCATTGTCATTTTGATCTTGAATTTTTCTTTGGACAAATATGAACTTTCTTATGACACCAAGTCAAAACTTTCTCTTATTTTCGTATCACCAAGATTGTAACCAAAGCAAATTTCCTTTTGAATTTCAGAAAACAAATTTTGAATCAAAAATTAAAAGTAAAGATGTAGTAATGGACTTTGTAATGAGAATGAAAAAAAATGATGATCCAATATGCTTCAAATCCAATCAAATTCAACCTTAACTTGACTTTAAGAATTCAAATCAAAGGAAAGACTCCTAAAAATGGTGACTAATCCCTTCATCAAGTTTTATCATAAATCAAATGATGGCTTGTAATTCTCTTGAAAATACCAAGTGGTAAGGCTTAACTAATCTTCTTAATTTTGAGATGCAGAAGAAAACAAATTGAGATTGAAACCAAACTTTGATTCCAAAGCCTTTAGCAAATTTGAGAAGAACAACTTCGCATAGCTAGAAACTCTAAGAGAATTTTTTTCGTAGAAAATGGAGGGAAAATTTTGGGGTACAACAACTGCTATACCATAAGGGAAGAAAGTAGTAGGATGCAAGTGGATATTTTCAATTAAGCACAATGCTAATAGGAGTATAAACAGGTACAAAGTCCGGTTGGTTGCTAAGGGGTTCACACAATCATATGAGGTGGATTATGAGAAGACTTTCGCCCCTGTTGCGAAGCTCAATTCTGTCTGGGTTCTACTATCTCTGGCAGCAAATCTAGATTGGCCCCTACACCAACTAAATATAAAGAATGCATTTCTAAATGGAGAATTAGAAGAAGAGGTATATATGTAAATTCCTCCGGAACTTGAATCACCTGGAACCTCCAACATGGTGTGTCGACTTCGAAAATCTCTATATGGCCTCAAACAATCACCAAGGGCATGGTTTGACAGACTAACAAAAGTTGTCAAGCAAGATGGTTTTGTTCAATGTCAAACGGACCATACTATGTTTCTCAAGCATTCTTTGGATGGAAAGATAACTTTGTTTATTGTCTATGTTGATGATATCGTAATTACGAGAGATGATGATGAACAAGTCAACCAGTTAAAGAAACTTTTAGCAAAAGAATTTGAAGTCAAAGACTTAGGACAACTCAAGTATTTTCTAGGGATGGAAATTGCACGAACAAAGAATGGGATTTCAGTTTCTCAAAGGAAGTACACTCTGGATTTACTTCAAGAAACATGTATGCTTGGATGCAAAGCTGCCATACTCCCATAGAACAAGTAAAAAGGAGTGAAGATGAGAATGTACCAGCTAATAAAGATAGATATCAAAGTCTAGTCGGAAAACTAATCTATCTAACTCACACCAACATGGCTAGTCGTTATATGTCAAATCCAACTGAAACTGACATGAGAATTGTGAACATAATTCTCCAGTACCTGAAAGGTACTCCAGGCCGAGGACTTTATTTTCAAAAGAACTCAAACAGAGGTATTGAAGTCTACACCGATTCTGATTGGGCGAGATGTTTATCTGACAGGAAATCGACTACAGGCTACTGCACATTTGTATGGGGTAATATGGTAACTTAGAGAAGCAAGAAACAGTCTGTTGTGGCTAGGAGTAGCGCAGAAGCAGAATTCAGAGCTATATCACAAGGTATTTGTGAAGGAATTTGGCTTAAGCGAATGTTAGACGAGACCAAAATTCTTACCAATCACCCATGAAGATATTATGTGATAACACGGCTGCTATTAGCATTGCGAAGAATCTGGTACATCATGATAGAACAAAGCATGTGGAGATAGACCGACATTTCATCAAAGGGAAATTGATCATGAAATTATAAGTGTTAACCATATTCCATCATGCTAGGAAACTGCAAAGATTCTAACAAAAGCCCTTCCAAGGAACATATACGAGAATATCAGATCCAATCTAGGTATGATAGACATCTACCACCCAGATTGAGGGGAAGTGTGGGATAATCATAACAGAATCAAATGATTTTGTTTGTACAACTCATTAAAGATTAGGATTAATGTAATTAACTAGCTATTATTTCATGTTCCTTTCTATAACTAGAATTAGCATTCATGGGAAATTAATTCCTGTGATTCTTAGGTCAGATTTTTCTTCCAAATCCTGTCCTATGTATTCTATAAATACAGTATATGTAATTCTCATCAAATACAAGAAAATGTTGAATGATTAGAATAAGTCAAATGCAGTGTAATTGGTTTTGAAGTGTTTTTGGAGAATAGCTTATTTGAGAAGCTATTTTGGAAAAGCTGCCAGTATGCTGCAGGAAACCCTGTTTTGTTACTTTGTTTAGTGTTAGCAGGCACTATATATACATTTTGTAACATGTTGAATGGAATTAATGCCATATGATTTTTTACCCTCTCAATTAATCTCTATTCTCTCTAAACTTGATCTTCCCCAATCCTCTAATTTCACCAAAATTATCCATCATCTCCATTGATTCACATACAAGGTTTTGTGCTTGTTCTAACATTTGGTATCAGAGCATTGGTTATTGATCCCAATCCGCTGCAACACCAACAATGGCTACCGTTTCCAATGATCGAATTCCCACCAATCTCCCAATTCTTGATTCGAAGAACTACGACAAATGGGCGAAACAAATGAAGGTTCTGTTTGGTTATCAAGAGGTTCTTGAGATCGTCATCAATGGAGTTACACCATTAGGGGCAGATGCTACCGATGCTCGTAGGGCTACACACAAGGAAGAAAAGAAAAAGGATTACAAAGCCCTATTCTTGATTCACTCTTGTGTTGATAACGACAATTTCGAGAAGGTTGGTGATTGTGAATCCGCGAAGCAAGCATGGGAAATCTTGGAGAAAGCGTATGCCGGTGCCGTCAAAGCGAAGGTGGTAAGGTTACAAACTTACAAACGTCAATTCGAGTTAACGCAAATGGAGTACAAAGAAACGATCAACAATTACATAACGCGCATTACCCGGTTAGTCAACCAAATCAAGTCATGTGGCGAAACGATCCTTGAGCAGAATGTTGTATCGAAAGTGTTGCGTTCATTAACATCACATTTCGATAACATTGTTGTGGCTATTGAGGAGTCAAAGGATCTAACAACTTTGAGTAAAGATGAGTTGCAAAGTTCGTTAGAGGCGCATGAACAAAGGATGGATGAGAGAAGTGCCGACAAAGCCAAAGCGGAGATCGCTTTGCAAGCGCGTTTACATGAGAAGAACAAGAGATCGAAAGGGAAGTGGACTTCAAAAAATAAGAAGAATTTTGGTGGAAAAGATCCACAAAATTCAAAGGGTGAAGGAAGCTCCAAAGATGGTAATCAAAGCGCCCACAAACCGTTTGACAAAAGTTCTGTGAAGTGTTATAATTGTCAAAAGCTTGGGCATTTTGCGAAAGAATGTCGCTCAAAACGCAAGGAAAAGGATGCGGATGAGGCGAAGGTTGCTAGGGAAGAGGTAGATGATGAAGATACCCTTCTTGTGATGATTACGGAAGAGAATTATGGCATTGTTGATGTTCTGGGCAGCAGCTACTGTGATGATAGTGTGTGGGACAGCAGCTGTACTGTTTTGGAAAGTGGCGAAAAAATGTGTTCGGATCGAAATGCATTAGTTACCGTGCGTGAGGGAGTCCAAATTAAAGATGAATGGTACTTGGATTCCGGTTGTTCAACACATATGACGGGTCGAAAGGATTGGTTTGTGCAAATCAATCAAGCGACAAAGAGTAAAGTCAAGTTTGCCGACGACACTACTTTAAGCGCCGAAGGGGTAGGAGATGTTTTGATCGGAAGAAAGAATGGTGGACACTCTAGGATCAAAGATGTCTTGTACATACCGGGAATTAAGTGCAATCTTTTAAGCATTGGCCAATTGCTTGAAAGAGGGTACTTAATTCGATTGGAGAATAAGATGTTACGCGTTTTAGATTCAAATGGTGTGTTGATTCTAAAAGCACTGATGGCTGCCAACAGAACTTTTAAGGTTGAGTTAAAGGTTATGGAGCATCGTTGTTTAGCTACCGCGGCAAGTAGAGAGGAGTGGCTATGGCATTACCGTCTTGGTCACCTTAACTTTAGGGATCTTAAGATGTTGCAACAAAGTGGAATGGTAACGGGGCTGCCACATATTAGTGTTCCGACAGAATTGTGTGAGGAATGTGTCACATCTAAGCAACACAAGAAGGTGTTTAGCAAGGATGCGGGTCGGAGAGCCAAAGACTTACTTGAGGTGGTGTATTCCGATGTTTGTGGACCAATGCAAGTAGAGACATATGGCGGCAATCGATATTTTGTTACGTTTATTGACGATTTTAGTAGGAAGCTTTGGACTTATCTTATCAAGAGAAAGGATGAGGTATTTGGAGTGTTCAAGAGTTTCAAATCCATGGTGGAGCGTCAAAGCGGCCGGAAGCTCAAAATTCTCAAAACGGATGGTGGAGGTGAATATACCTCTAGTGAATTTGGGAAGTTTTGTGATCTTGAGGGTATTGTGCGTGAGGTGGTGCCTCCATATACGCCTCAACAAAACGGGGCTGCCGAGAGGAAAAATCGTACAATAATGAACATGGTGCGTAGCATGCTTTGTGGGAAGAAGTTACCTAAAGAATTGTGGGGTGAGGCCGTATCTACAGCCACCTACTTGTTGAATAGGTGTCCTACTAAGAAGTTGGAGAAAATCACACCGGAAGAGGTTTGGAGTGGTTTCAAACCGAGTGTGGTTCATTTGCGTGTTTTTGGATCGATTGCATATCGTCATGTACCAAATCAACTTAGAAAGAAGTTGGATGATAAAGGTGAGAAGTTGATATTTGTTGGATATCACTCTACTGGTGGTTACAAGCTGTTTGATGAGAAGAATCGGAAGATCGTGATAAGCCGGGACGTGACTTTTGATGAAATCAAAAGTGCAGAAACAGCAGCAGAAAATCAGCAGCAGCAGTTTTTTGAAATCTCTGATCCGGAGTTGTCTGATGCCGCTGTACCAGCACCTACAGCAGCTGAAAACAATGTTGTGAATGAGGGTAGACCAACAAGGCATAGAGGTATGCCTCAAAGACTCCGAGATTGTGAACTGTTCCGAGATAGTGAGATCAACAATGATGGTGATCTTATTCATTTCGCTTTAATGGCCGAATCCGAACCGGTAAATACGGAGGATGCATTAAGCGATCCAAATGGATGTGTGCAATGAAGGAAGAGTTGAAATCGATTGAGAAGAACAATACTTGGGTGTTGGTTGATTTACCGAAAGGTAAAAAGGCGATTGGTGTGAAATGGGTTTACAAAGTAAAAGCAAATCCGAAAGGCGAGATAATCAAGCATAAGGCTCGATTGGTAGCAAAGGGATTTTTGCAAAAAGAAGGCATAGACTTTGATGAGGTATTCGCACCGGTTGCAAGGCATGAAACCATCCGGTTAGTTGTTGCGATTGCAAATAACAACAGCTGGTCGTTATATCAAATGGACGTCAAATCGGCGTTTTTGAATGGTCCATTGGATGAGGAAGTGTATGTTGGACAGCCACCTGGTTTTGTGATACAAAATCAAGAGGAAAGGGTCTACAAATTAAGGAAGGCACTCTATGGTTTGAAACAAGCTCCAAGAGCTTGGAACAAACGCATAGATGTTTTTCTTATCAACATTGGTTTCAAGAAGTGCGTATCCGAACACGGTGTGTATGTGAAGTCGGATAAAAGCAAAGGAGTAATCATACTTTGTCTTTATGTGGACGATTTGTTGATTACGGGCAGTTGTGAAAAGTACATTTCAAAGTTCAAAGAAGAGCTTATGGGGGAGTTTGAAATGAGTGATCTTGGCTCTATGAAATACTTCTTAGGCATAGAGTTCCAAAAAACAAAGTTGGGACTGCTCATGCATCAAAAAAGGTATGCAATGGAGATTTTGAAGAGGTGTGATATGGAGCATTGTAATGCTGCCACAACACCAGCCGATGCACGTTTGCAGCTGTCCAAGAGTGAAGATGAGCAAGATGTGGATCCTACTCAATACCGGAGATTGATAGGATCATTGCGTTACTTTTGCAATACGCGGCCAGATTTAGCGTTTAGTGTCGGTATTGCAAGTAGGTTCATGGAGAGGCCGAAGGTATCACACTTGGCAGCGGTTAAGAGGATCCTTAGATATGTGAAAGGTACTCTTGGTTGTGGGATTTTATTTCCTGCAAGTGACATGGGCAAAAGTTGCGAATTACTCGGATACACCGACTCCAATTGGTGCGGAGATAAGGACGATCGGAAATCAACGGCCGGTTATGTTTTTATTTTCGGAGGAGCACCAATCTCTTGGTGTTCTAAAAAGGAGTCGGTGGTTGCTCTCTCTTCTTGTGAGGCGGAGTATATCGCAGCTTCGTTATGTGCATGCCAAGCTGTGTGGCTAGTGAACCTGCTGCGTGAGCTGGACAGCAACACGAGAGGAGCTGTTCTGCTGTTGGTGGACAATGTTTCAGCCATCAACCTTGCTAAGAATCCCATAGCACATGAGAGGAGCAAGCATATTGAGATGAGATTCCATTACTTGAGAGATTTAGTAAGTTCTGGACAGTTACGTTTGAGCTACTGCAGAAGTGAAGAATAGGTCGCGGACTTGTTGACGAAAGCGGTTACGAATGATGTTTTCAAGCGACTCGTGGTGAGGTTGGGCATGAAGAACATTGAGCATTTGACTTAAGGTGGTGTGTTGAATGATTAGAATAAGTCAAATGCAGTGTAATTGGTTTTGAAGTGTTTTTGGAGAATAGCTTATTTGAGAAGCTATTTTGGAAAAGCTGTCAGTATGCTGCAGGAAACCCTGTTTTGTTACTTTGTTTAGTGTTAGCAGACACTATATATACATTTTGTAACATGTTGAATGAAATTAATGCCATATGATTTTTTACCCTCTCAATTAATCTCTATTCTCTCTAAACTTGATCTTCCCCAATCCTCTAATTTCACCAAAATTATCCATCATCTCCATTGATTCACATACAAGATTTTGTGCTTGTTCTAACAGAAAATATAAAATATATTTCTGCAATTTTTAAATAAGCGAAAAACTTTATTGAAGATAAAGAGACCAGAGAGAACAGGAACTCCACTAAACTAATGAAGAATGTTGAAAGGAAATAACATGTCAGTTTACTTATATTTTAATAATAAATACATTTTTTCTAGCGTCAATAATTTTTATTGTTGTTTTCATCTTTTTTTAATCAAATTGCTTGTGTTGACTTATAGTTGATTTGTGAGATATTACTTGACCAGGATAACATAATGTTTGTTTGTATAAAGTTAGCTTTACTTTGTGAGAATTGTAAAAAATACATAATCAAAAGCTGTTTTTCTGGAAGTCTTTGTTGCTGGATGTTTGGTTCTGGATTCTTGGTTGTATGAACTTTTTTGGGTAAAGATGAAAGTTGGTTTCCTGGTTGTAGAACATTCAAAACTTTCAAAACTTTCAAAACTTCTTTTGAATTACAACTTTCTGTTGGGTCATTAATTCGGGGGGTCAACAACGTGGGACTTCCCCGGACTTTGTTTCTCTAAGTTTCCAACTCACACTTATTATTCTCAAACACTTTCTACTTTTATTTTTCCTCCCTATTTTTGGAAATTTTGTTTGATTTATTATTGCATAATATATTGATATCTAATTTATTGCTGTTTATGCTCACAGATAGAAGGAGCTTTTATTCAAGGTTTGGGTTGGGTTGCTTTAGAAGAACTTAAATGGGGAGATGCAGCTCATAAATGGATCCCCTCTGGGTGGCTTAACACTTGTGGACCTGGAGCTTATAAAATTCCTTCTATAAATGACGTTCCCTTGAAATTTAATGTCTCACTTCTGAAGGTATATTCCTGAATCCTAAACATGTTTCAGTTCTTTCTTGAGGTAACCATATGGTGCATAAGTGTGGATGATACAAATTGAGTCATTCCGTTGTGCTATGTTACCCGATGGCACAATGGAGTCATAGGTTAATGGGAATCACGTTTTGGTTATTTGGCTATTCTGGTTGCCAAAATTGAAGATACCTATATTCACTTGAAGATACCTATATTCCTGAATCCTAAACATGTTTCAGTTCTTTCTTGAGGTAACCATATGGTGCATAAGTGTGGATGATACAAATTGAGTCATTCCGTTGTGCTATGTTACCCGATGGCACAATGGAGTCATAGGTTAATGGGAACCACGTTTTGGTTATTTGGCTATTCTGCCAAAATTGAAGATACCTATATTCACTTGTTTTGTTGTGTGATCTAACTTGCAGGGTCATCCAAATGTAAAGGCAATCCATTCGTCTAAAGCAGTTGGCGAGCCTCCGTTTTTCCTAGCATCAGCTGTATTCTTTGCCTTAAAGGATGCCATCCTAGCTGCAAGAATTGAAATGGGGCGCGCTGAGTGGTTTCCTCTCGATAGTCCAGCAACTCCTGAGAGAATTCGGATGGCTTGTTTAGACGAATTTACATCATCTTTTGTTAATTCAGATTTCTGTCCCAAACTTAGTGTCTGATACTCTATTTATTCATTTGTTAAGTTTCTTGCCATATCAACAAATGAAACTTACAAAGAGAGCATCACATGTACGTACATTGATAGAAAATAAGTTATATAGGGGCATGAGATCACCAATAATGGACTCAAGTCTAGAAAATGTCCAAACTCTCGCACCTTGGTAAGAGTAGCATCTGCTGCACTGCAGCAAGTAAATGACAGCATCCACTTGCATCGGTATGTTATCTGTTTGCTTTATAAATTTAAATTGCATTTTCTTTTTTATACTGTCGCCATGTGTGAATTAGATTACTTGCTGATTAGATTACCATTATATATATTTCAATTTAAACTTTAAGGCACACACACAAATAGTGTTTTCTATTCATGAAAGGAATCACTTGAAATGTTTGGAATCACTTGAAATGTTTGGATTAGATTGATTTTTTATGGGGAAAATTTTACTAAATAATAGATTTCTTTCTTTGGAAGGAGGATGGTATTAGTTATATCATGCAAATATTTAAGGATAAACAGCAATTACAAATGATTTAAAATATAATATGAAGAATGTTCAGGACAAAACAGACTTTTGAATTAACAATGAGACATAATGACACAACAGGTCTGCATTCATAACAATGCTATTTGATGTAGACCCTGATATAAATGAAATAACAACAATGTGGAATAATTTTATTGAAACAAATTAAGTTGGTTCAGCTGCATTAATAGACTCTTGGAGGTGGTGGTGGAGAGTTGTAGAGGTAGGGAAGATGATAAGCTGGATGCTTGTGGACATTAGGAGTGGGTGATTTACGGATATATGGTGGAACATGAGAAGAAGAAGGTGGAGGTGGAGACTTGTACACATATGGAGGAGGTGGTGAAGGAGATGGTGGGGGAGGAGACTTGTAAATATATGTTGCGACGTTATTTACATGCCATGACCTTATAATATATATAACATATAAATATAAACTTTATGTTTATATATATAACAAATACTTTCTATTTGTATATAACATAAATATACTTTTACTTCTTTTTTTTTAAATTAACAAAAAAAAAATATAACTATAAACTTTATGTTTATATATATAATATAAATACTTTCTATTTGTATATAACATAAATATACTTTTACTTTTTTTTTTTTAAATTAACAATAAAAAAATAATATAACAACAAACAACACATCTAATACAAATCTTTAAAAAAAAATCAAATGACAAAATTATTTCTTAAAACTAGTTTGATAATCTCTTTGAATTTGTATCTTGAAGATTGAAGTTTGATAATACCTCTTGAATGGATGATTGAATGAAATTGAAGAAGAAATTTGTTTGGATGAATGGAAGAATAGGGAAAAAGAGTTGGAATGGTTAAGAGGAAGAATAAAGTTGCAGAAGAGAAGAAAAAACAATAGGGTTACTGTAAAAATGAACAAAGCTAAAAAAAAATATAAAAGCATTAGCGACGTGAAAAACATATCGCAACCTTGTCACATGTTAATTACGTCGTAATCAATCAACGGTTATAAATTAATGGACCAAATATATAAAATTAGTAACGTGAATATCATGTCGCAACTTTGTCACATTAAAACTAAAAAAATTGAGAATTTTTTATTTCCCTCCAATTTGAACGTTACAATTTTCTTTCTTTTTTATTAAATTGTTTACTGATAACTTAATTAACACATCGTAACATTATTTTTTAAAAATAAACTCTGACTCTCTATGTGACGTTGCAGGTTAATTTTTTTAATATTATAAATAATTAGTGACGTGATAATCATGTTACAATTTTTTTTTGTCATGTGTTTATCATGTCATAAAATCACTTCGCTGAAGAGTATTTATCTTATAGCGATAGTCATGTCGCGAGAAATTTCACTGTGATTATACCGAAAAATACAATTATGGTGCCAGAAGTGCAACAAATTTAACACCATGATACCACTAAGTTAAATATAATCTACGGTGACAACTATCAATAGAAAAATCAAGGAGATATTAAAGGGGAAAATACCTATGGTGATAGAAAAATCAAGGAGATATTAAAGGGGAAAATACTTATAGTGATATACCTGTAGTTTCTAATAAAAAAAAAAGTCAAACACACATTTTAGTTATGACACATGAAATATAACATATACAAGAAAAATATTAGGAAAATAATACAAGATTTTGAATAAAAATAAATTTCGTATTTTTGAATTAAAAAAATGAAACAACAGGTCAACTATGCTAATGTAGAACTTTGGAGTGGTGCAACATCAATATGAAAAAAAACATGAAAAACTTAAATTGGCAGATAATTTAAAACGATAATGTAAAAAAAAATATTTAAGAAAAATACAACAACAATATTGATCAGTCTCAAACTATTAAGCGGCTTCGTGTATCTCTTAATTTGAAAAATTAACATGTCATCTTCTAAATTAAACATGTCATCCTCCAATTTTTTGTTTAGTTATTTTAAGATTATGTTTGTTGTATTATATTATGTTATGTTATTCATCAAATTGAAACATGTAATCGCCAAAAGATTATGCAAATCTACATAGGCCCTCCACAGGCTACGTCGACTAACCTAGCTAAACATATATAGACTTCACCATCAGGGTTTACCAAACCCATGAAACTATCTAAATGAACGAAGATGAACTGTAGGCAACTGTCCTGATCACTTGCGGGAGGTAGAGGTGGTGGTGGTGGCTCGGCAGAAACTCTGACACACGAAGGTCCCAGAATATCAGATGCTGCAGTCGCTGGTATGACCCAAAGGTGTGACACACTGTGAAATCACTCCAGGTATCCATCTTCGCACTGCCCATGACGCTGAATCTCAACGACTGTATTCATGATCTCACGGGGATGTGACTTTGAAACCATCTATCAATGTCACCACCTGGAGTCTCTGAAACTGGACGAGAGAGGTCCTGCACATAACCATATTGGCGTAAACACCTCTCAGGAAAGTGTTTAGCCACATGGTTCTCCCATCTAATATGCCGTGAATACAAAGTAGACACCTCAAATGGAAGATGAGGACGATGAGATGTATATGATGTCCATACAGAGTCCTCTAACGTCAGTGTATCTAACCTTCTTCTATACGGTGGAACATGGGAAGAAGAAGGTGAAGGTGGAGATTTGTACACATATGGAGGAGGTGGTAAAGGAGATGGTGGGGGAGGAGACTTGTAAATATATGGAGGTGGTGGTGATGGCGGTGGTGGAGATTTGTAGATATATGGTGGAGGAGGTGAAGGAGATGGTGGTGGAGGAGACTTGTAAACATATGGAGGGGGAGGGGAAGGAGATGGGGGTGGTGGTGAGGGGGAAGGTGGTGGTGGAGACTTGTACACATATGGAGGGGGTGGTGAGGGGGAAGGCAGTGGTGGAGACTTGTACACATATGGAGGTGGTGGTGACGGAGAAGGTGGTGGTGGGGACTTGTAGATATATAGTGGTGGAGGTGAAGGGGACGGAGGAGGTGGAGACTTATAGACATACAGAGGCGGTGATGAAGGAGAGGGGGGTGGAGGAGATTTGTAGACATATGGTGAGGGAGAAGGCGGTGGTGGTGACTTGTAAACATATGGTGGAGGAGGTGAGAGGGAAGGCGGTGGTGGAGACTTGTACACATATTGAGGTGGTGATGATGGAGAAGGTGGTGGAGGGGACTTGTAGAGATATGGTGGAGGAGGTGGAGACTTATAGACATACAGAGGCGGTGGTGAAGGAGAGGGAGGTGGAGGAGATTTGTAGATATATGGTGGTGGAGGTGAGGGAGAAGGTGGTGGCGGTGACTTATAAACATAAGGAGGGGTGGAGATTTATAGACATATTGTGAAGGAGGTGGTGACTTATAAACATAAGGTGGAGGTGGTGAAGGAGAAGGCGGGGGTGGAGATTTATAAGTATATGATGGAGTTAATTTGTGATAATTGTGTGAGTGTTTTGCATGGTGTGGGACTTTTTGTGAGGATGGATATTCTATATTCTTTAGATGTGGTGAAGAGTAGTACTTTGGGCTGGGATGTAGAAGTTCCCATCTTCTCTTTGAAATGTGTATGTTTTGAAATTAAAGTATGCACAATCCCCTTTATATAGTGTTATAATAAATGAACATGATTAGTTTTTTTTTTTAAAAAGCATATAATATCGCCCACCGTGGGGCTCGAACCCACGACCACAAGGTTAAGAGCCTTGCGCTCTACCAACTGAGCTAGACGGGCCAGTTGTGATGGTTTTTTGCTTAAGGTATTTCAAAGATAGAAATCAATGTGTAACAGTAATTTTCTTATAATATTAGTTATAAATTTTTTGTAAAATCTCATTAAATGTAAATGAAATTTATAACAAACTTATGAGAATTTAAATTCTCTGTTGAAAAAAAGATAAATCTTTGAGAAATTGTTTTTAAGATAACTATAAGATGAAGAGCATTTGAAATTTAGGTGTTTTTTTTTTATGAAGAGTGAAAAAGTTGAGAAAATATTGCAAAGGGTTGAGGTTATCTAAATTCTATGCTAATCGATTGGTTAATTTGTGTTGATGAATAAATTTTAGGCCATTTGATAATTTTCATGTGATCTTAATATAGTCGATATAGGACAAGGAAATTACAGGGTGCAGTTTAACGTGCATGAAGGATGTGAGAATATTTTTGGCAAGGGATCTTGGATGATCTTATACCATTACTTAAAGGTTTGTGAATAATTTTGGGACAATGGTTTCACATCTAATATGTGAGCTTCCACCTATTGTTCAAGAGTCGTAGAAAATATATACTACAAAAAAAAATTCAGTTACAATGTGATAATCACGCCACAACATGTAAAATCTCGTCACAACATATTTTTTGCGACGTGAATGGAGGGCGTGTGGCAACTTTGTTGTGACGTGATTTTCATGTCACAAAGTTGTGACGTGAAAATCACGTCGCAATATTTTTGCATAAAAAACATCACATTTCAGCGGGAGCAGAGTGGGAGCAACGTAGCAG